CAACATGGGGGTAAAAGAAAAGTCTCTGCCTCGTTAGATGGTTGGGAAGATTAATTAGATGATGCTCATAAAAAGTGCTTAGCGGGCCTCCCCGGTGGCACAGCGGTTGAGCGCTGGGTTGCAAAGCTGCCGGCAGCCTCTGCAGCACCGGTTCAATCCCCGGCCGCCAGCGAGGGTCCCACATGGCGCGAAGACCTCTCCTGCCGCCCGCTGCTCCCCTCAGCAGTGTACTTCGGTCCTTCTGCCTGCTCTGCTCCCCGCTCTGGCTCTGGTGAATTCTCTCACCCTCCCGCGCTTCTGACTATACCCAGTGCTTGTATAAATAAATAAATAATTTTTTTTTTTTTTTAAAGTGCTTAGCCGTGCCAGGCACGTGGCACGCACTGATAGGTGGGCTCCATGGGTTAGTCTTAGTTTGTTTAGAAAGCACTAAAAAATGCTCAACATACGATTATAAAGGCAAAGCTGGTGTCAGATCCAGAGTCCCCCCCTTCTACAGCTGGTCTCCTTCCCCCTCTTCTAGGAGAACCGGAGAGGGGGGAATTCTGCCCTCTCTCGGGGCACGTGTCCTGAAACCTTGGTGCTGGTGGGGGAGGCGTTCCAGGGCCTCAAGTGAAGGAATCCCCAGCCTTACAAGCAGGTGAGAGGTGAGAGAGGGGAGATATGCCCCCAAATGTTGCTCCCACTCATGCTTATGGCAAACTGGGTGGCCAGGGAATGGGAGATGCCTGTGTGTATATTGAGGTGCCTGAAAAGCTAGAAGGAGGCAGATTTAGGGAAGTGTGGGGAAGGAAGGGGACTTGGTGCATGAGGGAGAGTCTTCAGAGCCAGAGGAAGCCATGGGAAGCCAGGGTGGGCAGGGCTGGGGGAACAACCCTGGCACAGTCCTCTACAGTTTGAAAAGATCACGAGGCTGTTAAAACCAAGTGAGGCTCCGAGGCAGTAGCGGCAAGATCCAAGCTCTTTCGCCATGTCGGGCTGTCACTAGGACACAGTTGCTGAGCAACTTGCTCCCTTGCGCCTCAGTGCGGCCCAGAGACCAGCTCTTGCCAATGGAATGTGCTCCATCTGCCTCCCATTACATGGGTACCAAGGAGGACGGTTGGGCCAGGGATGGAGGGCCTCAGGGGGCCAAAAGCCTTGTCCCGTCGTCCCTGCATGGACAAGAGTCGCCTGCAAAGCTGGAGCAGCTGCTCTGAGTTGGCACGTGAGAAGGAAACACCATCTGCTTGGGGCTCACATGTCACAGCAACTAGCACTGTCCTAACATGTGGGACGTTCACCTTTTTTTAAAGGGGCTTTGTGGGGGAGGGCACAGAGGGGTGACAGCCCCCACCCTGGCATTGCCAGTGCCACTCCACCCGTTCCCAATAGCCCTTTTGCCAAGCAACAGGGCAAGTCCTATGACTTCTTGCCCTCACACACCCCTCCCGATGAAACAGGGACAGGGCCCAGACTGGTGGTGTCTTGGCTTGTCCAGTTTTCTGCTTCTTGACAATCTTTCCTCAGCGCATGAGTTGGAAGTTTTGGCCCTTGGAGAAGTGTGGGCAGCTGGCTGTCTGACTGGGTGGGGCAACGTGAGGCAATGGGACTAGAGAAGCCATGAAGGCTGCCCCATCAGAGGGGAAGGGCAGGAAGCTAGCCCAGGAGCTGTGGTATTTTTTCAAGCAGGGTCAATCCCAGGTGTTTTAGCCTCCACCTAGAGGGAAAATTTACCCCATCTGACTCCATGACTGACTATAAGACTGACGATAATGGAGACACTGAGGCACGATCATGAGGACAAACAGATCAATAGAATAGAATAGAGTTCCCAGAAATGATTTAAATAAAATCACCAAAGCAACCCAAGGGGGAAAGGAAAGTCTTTACAACAAATGGTGCTAGAACAACTGAATATTCATATTGAAATAAACGTCAACTTCTCTTTACACCATTCAGAAAAAGTTATTGAGCTGGATCACAGACCTCAATCAAAAACTAAAGCTATAAAGTTTCTAGAAGAAACCATAGGATGATATCTTTGAGAGTTGGGGTAGATAAAGTTATCTTAAAACATCACAAAAAGTAATAACTATCTTTAAAATATTGATAAGTGAGATTTTACCAAAATGAAAATTTCTGCTTATCAAAATACATCATTAACAACATGACAGTCTCAGACTGATGCAAAATATACCTGACCAAGGGCCTCCCTGGTAGCCCAGGGCTTAAAGTTTCAGCACTATCAAGTTATCACCAGCCACTGAGACATGAGTTCGATCCCTGGCCAGGGAGCCAACCCACATATGGCACAGCAGACCTCTCCTGTCTCGCTCACTGCTCCCTTCAGCAGTATATTTCAGTCAATCCCCTGTTCCGCTCCCCGCTCTGTCTCTGATGAATCCTCTCACCTGGCCCCCTGCACCTCTGGCGTACACTCCAGTTCTTGTATGCATAAATAAAAATAAATCTTTAAAATATATATTTTTTAAATATATATTTTAAATATATTTTTTAAACTCACATGCTGTACATATAAAGAACTCAATAAATAAAAAAGATTAAAAATCTACTTTTTTTCACTAGACAAAGGATTTGAATAAAAACATCACAAAAGAAGATGAGTAGATGGCAAGAAATACATGAAAAAGTGCTTAATATCATTAGTCATTAGAAACACACGAAATTAAACCACAACGAGATGCCAACACACACCTACAGGAACAGCTAAAATTAAAGACTGACGACATCAAATGTTGGCAAGGATGTGGTACAATTAGAGTTCTCACACACTGTTAGTAAGAACACGGAATCACTTTGGATAAAGATGGTAGTTTTAAAATGCAACGTCTACCCCTGATGCAGTAATTCCTCTTTTAGGCTTTTACCTAAGAGAATTGAAAGGAGATGGCCACAAAGATCCCACAAGAGTGTCAACAGCCACTTTATTCAATCACTAGAAACAGCTCCAGGTTATCAAAGAATAACCAGTAATTTTCTGGTATAATCACATAATGGGAGGTTAGCAATAGAAATGAACTATCTACAAATACATGCAAATTCACAAATGACTCTCCCATTGTATTGAGAGAAAGAAGCTAGACATATCAGTGTACATGCAACATGACTTCATTTGTATGAAGTTCCAGAACAGGTAAAACTAATCTATGATGAAAAAAATCACTACTTACCTGGGCCTCGCTGGTGGCGCAGCGGTTGAGCGCTGGGTTGTGAGGCTGTCCGTGGCCTCTGCGGCACTGGTTCGATCCCCGGCTGCTCCCCAGCCACTGGAGGAGGGTCCCGCATGGCGCGCAGACCACTCCTGCCGCCCGCTGCTCCCCTCAGCAGTGTACTTCAGTCCTTCTGCCTGCTCTGCTCCCCACTCTGGCTCTGGTGCATTCTCTCACCCTCCCATGCTTCTGACTGTACCCAGTGCTTGTATAAGTAAATAAATAAATCTAAAATAAATAAATAAAAATTTAAAAAGATTTATTTAAAAAAAAATCACTACTTACCTGGGAAGGATCATGGGGGACATTCTGGGGTGATGGTAATGTGCTATATCTTGAAGGGGGCTGGGTTGTATAGGTTCTGGCATTTGTCAAAAGTTGCCTAATGTAGCAATAAATCTGTGCATTTCTTGTATATAAATTTTATCTTAAAAAGATAAACAATTTGATTATTTTATTACATACACCCTCAAGTGTTTAAGGGTAAAATAGACTGATGTCTGCAACTTCTTTTGAAATGATTCAAAGAAAATAAAAAGATGAAAGAGAGGTGGATAGGTGAGTGGATGGGTGGATGGCTCGAAGGATGGATGGTTGAATGTGTAGGTCAATGGATGAATGGGTGGGTGGATGGATGGAGAGAGATGCACAGATAAATGATTTAGCAAATAGCAAAATGTTAACTTTAAAATCTAGATGGTAGATATATGAGTGTTATGTGCAATTCTTATACATTTTCTGTGTGTTTGAAAATTATCATTAAAAATGTTTTAGAAAAACAAACAAAATAAATAAATCTTTATCAGCAGTCTGCACCATCCCACCACCCCCAAGGGATCGTTGTGACTAATCCATCAGCCCCACATCCTCGCTCCCTTCATCCACGCAAGGAAGTCACTAGTGATCCAACGCGCATCCCAAGCTGCCCATCCCCTCCCCTCACCCTTCTGACCCTCCTCCAGGCTCTCTGGAACTCCCACTCCACCCTATCTCCTGCTCTTCTGGAAATTTCTCCCCATCTCCTTGGTCCACTGGAAACCAAACTACCCTCTGGGACATCTCCTCCTGCTCAAGAGGAAGCTATTTTTTCTCTCATATTCCAAGTAGCTCAGAGTCAGGAGGTAGGGGTGGGAAGGTGTTTTCCTTGCTCCCCGTTGCTTCTTCCAAATTATTTCTCTTCCTTCCTCAAAAACTAGTTCCTTTGAAGTTCACACCAACTGGCTAAACCACTCCATGCCCTCTCCAGTGCATCTATCTGTCTCCTAACCTGTCAACTTTAGTTCCAGGCACAGTCTCTCCTCCACTCCACACCTGTCAACATTCTGGGACACTGTCCATATGGATGACCCTTCAATCCCTGGCCTCTCAGTTACAGGACCTCCTTACCTCCAAAGGCCTTTTCCTCCACACCAACTCAGCGCTCAGCGTCCCACCCCTCACAGCACATTCTAGATCTTGTCTCGCCTCTAACGTCTTGCTTCCAGGCCTCCCACACTGAGACATCACCCTTCAGTTCTTCCTTCCAGCACCAACATTGTGGACATCTCCGACGCGGTCACCCTCTTCCTCCACAGCCCCTCACAGGCCCGTCCTCCCTTCCTTCCCATGGCATTCACCACCTAACAGCAATAAAATCTCTTGATTCTTTTTTTTTTTTCCCCAGGAACTCGCCCCACCCTGGAGAACGTCCGCCCCTTCAGGGGAGATCTTTGAGTCGGTGTACTCACTGCTGTCACCTCAGCCCCTAGAAAGTGCCGTGGTGCGTGGAAGATGCCCGATAAAGGCTGGTCGAAAGAAAGGAGGAAGGAGAGGAGTTCAAAATTACAAAACAGGCGCGATCTCTCAGGGGTGCCCTTACCTCCGTGTTCTCCTTGTGACAGAGTGTCCCCGCTGCTTTCCAAGGCTGTTTGCGCCACACTCACCGCCGACGCCATCTTCTCTCGCCTTCTCGAGAAGCTGACTCCAGCGGTGTTCTCCTCCCTCCTTCACTACTGATTTCTCCTTCTGAGTCAGATCATTTCACTCGCTTCGCCTCTCCCCATCTTCTCACATTCCTCTGTGGATTCAACTCGCACAGCCCCTGCTACGCCACTTCTCTGCACTCTGCCTCAATTCCCATCCATCCTTCATCCCGCGTCGGCGGCCATCTTGGTCCAGGAAGTGAGGCCTGGGATGGGGAATCAAGGGCTGGAACAAAGCAGAGAGACCTAAAGAGCATGGGTTTCCAATGGCCTCAGAGAACGATAGTACGAGCCCCGGACAGCCGATCTCCATGTGAAAGAAATTAAGTTCTACGTTGTTGAAGCCATTGGTATTTTCTGTTTTTCTCTTATATTCACAGTGATTCCTAAATAAGCAAATCTTCTCCTTCCCGGATGTAAGTAACCTGAGGATAATGACTATCTTACTTTTCTTCCAAGTGCTTCACGGAATATAGCTCCTAAGTAAATGTTTCTTGGGGTAAACGCCATCTTGAAAATGAACCAGTGGCATCAACATAGAAAACGGAGGGCCTGGCGGGCAGCAGCCTGGGGTCTGCAGCCAGGGCACCTCTGCTCCATCAAACAGCTTGGTCATGCGTGGGATGGGCCCCGCAGGGAAAACAAACTGAGGAAGAAAGAGGAAGTGAGAGGCTGTAAGTAATGACTGGAGTTGGGTTTCGTTCTGTTTGTGTCTGGGTAGCTAAGCTTTGCCGGTCAGAGGCAGCAACTGCAGTCCCACTTCTAAGTTTCTTTTCTTTCTGGAACAGCTTTATTGAGATGTGATTTGCATACCATGCCATTTGCCCATTTGAAGTGGACAATTCAATGGTTTTTAGTCTATTCACAGACTTGTGCAATCATCACCACAAGCAGTTTTAGAACCTCTTCAACACCTCAAAAAGAAACCCTGTGCCCTTTAGTAGTTGTTCCCTATCCTTCTACCCTCACCCCAGCCCTAAGCAACCACTAACCTACTTTCTGTCTCTACAGATTCATTTATCCTGAAGATTTCATCGCAGTGGAGCGATACGATAGGTGACTTTTTAAATAAAAATTAACTAAATAAAAATATTTATTTAGTGGCTCCAGTCACTTAGCATCTGCTTACAGAATTCATCCATGTTGTATCAGTACTTCATTCCTTTTAATTTTAGCTATTTACTACTTTTTATGCCCAGCAAATTACTTTATTTGAAGGAATGGTACCAAGAAAAGATTTAAGTAGATGTCTTAGTACAACTTACAGAAAAGGGGGCCTCCCCGGTGGCGCAGCGGTTGAGCGCTGGGTTGCAAAGCTGCCCACGGCCTCTGCGGCGCCGGTTCGATCCCCGGCTGCTCCCCGGCCACCGGAGGAGGGTCCCACATGGCACGCAGACCTCTCCTGCCGCCCGCTGCTCCCCTCAGCAGTGTCCTTGGGTCCTTCTGCCTGCTCTGCTCCCCGCTCTGGCTCTGGTGAATTCTCTCACCCTCCCGCGCTTCTGACTGTACCCAGTGCCTGTATAAACAAAACAAACAAATAAATAAATAACATGCCTCTATTAAAAAAAAAAAAAACTTATAGAAAAGGTAAAGGTAACCCCAACATACATGCACTGCCTTGGTGATCAGAGGAGTCACCCCCTTGGCTATGGGGAGCCCATCTAAGGGTTAGCTCAGCTCTGGTCACTCTCACCCAGGTTGTCAAAGAGACACTCTGCCAGGCCAGATTCAAGTGCCTTCACCTTTTATAAGTTGGTTACGTGGTCACCAGCTCTTTGATGGATTTCACCTACTCATTCAGGCAATGTGTCTGCAGGAAGTCACACAAATGGGGGTCATTTTGTCAGTGGCCAGTTTGTGCAGGTCCAGTAGTGACTGATTCCCACTTTTTCCCCAGGGCAATGCACACTCCATTCTCCCAGTCATCATGGTCAGATCTCTTGAAATCCAGCCACCAATTTGGTCTGGCAGCTTCGTCAGTTTCTCCACTTGTTCCCTCTCCTCGTGGGATTGGTAAAGAAAATATTTGGCAAAGTTCTTCAAAGCCACATTGTCATGGTCAAAGTAATAAGACATGGACAAGTAGACATAGGAGATACGGAGCTCCAGGTTGATCTGGCAGTTGATGGCGGCCTCCGAGTCCTGGCAGTAGTTCTGGTGCACCTGCAAGGGATGTGTGGTGGCAGCAGTGGCGCTGGAGCAACTTCAAGGGTCTATCCCAAGTACTGTGAACAGCTGGCAATGGCCTGACTCTGAGCTAACAGCTGGGGAGGGGGACCTGGTTCTGGGTTCAGCCCAAGCTCAGTGGAAGCAGGAAACTGCAGCGACTATCTACAAAGTTTTCATTCCTTTTTATTGTTGAATTCTATTTCATTGTATGGACATACCACAGTTTATTTAACCATTCATCAGTTTATAGACATTTGGGTTGTTTCCACTTTTTGGCTATTGTGAATAATATTGCTATGAACACTCACAAGTTTTTGCGTGATTTTAATTCTCTTGGGCAGAGTTCGTTAGGGCCTCCCTGAGATGAATTAGGCACTTGCTTCCAGAGCAAAATCAGTCATCCAGGTAAATTGTTACTTGGAGGCCGGGGTGATGAGAGAGTCCACTGGGCAGTGGGGAGGATTAGAGGGATATAGTAATATGGAGGGAGCTGAATGGTCACTGTGAGCAGGGCCATGAATCAGGGTGTGTCCAGTGGGATCCAGCCCTGGGGCAGCAGGGTAGTTAAGACTGCCCCCACCCCCAGTCCCAGCCCCATGAACTGTGAAGGCCCTCCAGCTTAAGGGAAGGTCTTCCTCATTTCTGAACTTGCAACCTGAATAGAATTGTTGGACTCTCTCACGGGGAAAGCACAGTGATAATGCCAAGTTTACTTATCTCTCAACTCCTACTTGAGCCTCTAACCCAGTGCTAAGTACAAGGAGACTCAGCCAATGTACATTTTGAGGTGATTGAATGGACTTCATCTAGAAAACTTCCCCAGGGCATCTGAATTGTCCTCATGATGGAGTCTCACTTTGGATGTGCTCCCAAATCTGAATGGGGGAAGGGAGGGGGCCGGGTGCCAGAGAGTTTCTGGAAAAAGTCTGTCCTTTCCCGAATACCCTTCCTCTCTCTGTCCAACAGAACTTGACCTCAAATGTGCAAGTTCTAACATTGAAACAAATTGGGCTTGAGCCTGATTGGGCTGGCACTAAATGGTTTTGATTCATGTGATCATCATGACCTGATTGGGCCCTGACATGGAAAAAAACTCTGGAGGCCGAGATTGTCCAGGCATACGTTTCTGGGCCCACCCTTCAGGCTGGTCCCAGAACATTCCCCTACTTCCACCTACTCACTTCTGTGTCTCATTTAAATAGTTTTATAAGTTTTTTTTTAATCTCTTCTTTAGAATTTCCATTTCTTCTTTATTCCAAGAACTATAAAACCTCTTCAATTAATCGGTGACCACGAGAATAAGAATAGGCTTCCCTTTAAATAACTTGTGTATAAAATTTATGCTGACTCCACATTGACCTGCTCAAGAGAGGAAACATTTTCACTCTCTTAGGCAACATCTAGCTACAGATAAGCCTCCAGCTGATTATAGAAGATTCTAGCCCATGCAATAAAAAGCTGGCCCCCCATGACCTCTGCTTGTCAACACCTCATAAGTTTACCAAGAGTTGCTTCATAACTTCAGTGATGTCTTCTGGGAATTAAGCCTTATAATAACTCGATTGTGTTAAACAGATAAACTTCAGAAAGCTGGGAAGCTGGAGTCCAGGGAATCTGCATAGATCTGCAGGCTTTGGGATTACTGGAAGCCCGGTTCTTAGGGACATAGTGTTGGCCCTCACTGCAGGATGCTGCCTTTCAAAGGAATGTCTTTTCACAGGGGGGAAACTGAGACCCAGACTGGGGGAGGGGTGAGAAGAAAGTGGCGAGAAGATAGGAGGTCCCTGAGGGCAGATCTGGAACAAGGCGGCCTCCTCACCCTTGCAGAACAGAAGAATCACTAGGGCCATTTTAAAGGCCACGCCGCAGATCAGTTACTTCAGAATGCCCGCGTGGAACATGGGCATTCAGACTTTTTTCATTCACATATTTTTGTCTTTTATTATAAACATTTTCAAACCACATTAAAAAGTTAAGAGAATTGTATGATGAAATACATCTGAACAGTCAAATAAAGGCACTCGGGTTTTTTTCAAATTCCCCTTTAATTTCAACAGTCAAATTTGGGAATCATGGCAATAAAACCATTCTAAATCACTTGCAGTCAGAACAGGGGTGGGCGAGCTGGGGTCGCGATGAATGTTCACCGTTTCTGTAGATAAAGCTGTGTGGTCTTGGGCAAGTCACTTGGGGTCTCTGTTTCCTCCTCTATAAAGGGAAGATAATTTTATAACCTACCTCATGGGGTTAGTTTAAGGCTTGAATGAGACAATACTTGTCAGGCTTTGGACCATGTCCAGCACCTAGAAAACACCCAGTAACTTTGAGCTATGACCATTATTCTATTATTTTAGAGTATATAATTATATTTTCTTTGCAATACCTCATGATTACATAGTATCTTCTCATTTCTTGGAATGCACAGTTTTTGCATTTTTTATTGAGGCATAATTGTCAAATAACATATTAGTTTCAGGAGTGCAACATAATGACCTGCTATTTGCATATGCTACAAATGATCACAGTAAATCTAGCTGCTCTCTGCTACCAGGCAAAGCCACAAAACTTTTTTTTTCTTGTAATAAGGATGTTTAAGGTCTTGTTAGTAACTTTCACATATGCAACACCCTATTATTAACTATAGTCACCAAGCTGGCCATTCATTACATCCCCTTAACTATTTATCTTATAACTAGAAGTTTGTACTGTTTGACCCTGTTTGTACTCTTTACCCATTTCAACCATCCCAGTTTTTGCATTTTTACTTTTTTATTTTTTTCCCCAAGTTTCAGATGTTTATGAATCATTGTCAACCCCAACACAATACACCAACACGAGGGAAGTATTTCCTGGTTCGGTAGAAAATTGTGCAGGTGGCTTCTGGAAGACCTTCCTATTAAGCAGCTTTCTAGTGAAATGTTCCTTTTTTTGAAAGATTTATTTATGCATACCAGAGCTGGGGTACAGGCCAGAGATGGGGGGGTTGTGAGATGACTCACCAGAGACAGAGTGGGAAACATAACAGGCAGACTGACTAAAACACACTGCTGAGGGGAGCAGCGGACTAGACAGGAGAGGTCTGCTGCGCCACTTGTATTGCTCCCTGGCCGGGAATCGAACTCATGCTGCAGAGGCTGCGGATTGCTTCATAGTGCAGTGCTTAACCCCTTGCGCCACCAGGGAGACCCCTTTCACCCCAACTTTGAAGGTGACAAATCTGAGACAGGTGGAGAGACTCGCCAAGGTGAACTTGAACCCAGGTGGGTGGGATTCCGAAATCTGCCTCCCAATAAATGTTTGTTGAAGGAATTACTGGGTGGGTTAATACTGTGTGGTTAAATACAATAGCGGTTTCAACAAATATTTCCTGGGTGCTGGGTGTAACAAGGGGAGCAGGACAAGACCGGGCCCCACCTGCCCAGAGCTTACAACCCAGGGGTCGGACAGACTAGATTCAAAGACTCGTCTCCATTCCTGGTCCACAGAAAGGACCCGTTTCTGGATGTCAGTGCAGGAGGCCAGGGGGAACTGGCATGAGGAGTGACCCGGACCTGCTTAGCCACAGTTGGGGGAAGAGAAACCTGGGGAAGAAGCCAGCCTGCCTCTAGTGGGCAGGGAGCTGCCCAGCCCCCCAACTCTGGCAGAAGCCAGAGAAGGCCCCGAGGGCTTCAAGCAAAGCAGTGACAGAATCAGATTTGGGTCATTAAGAGATCACCCCCAAGCCGTGGAATCACATTGTCAGGTCAGCAGCACCTCCCAGCTGGGTGACCCCATTCTCATCTCCCTCTGGCCAGGAGAGCGCCCACAGAGTCCATGGCTGAGGACCGAGGACTTCACTTGCACTTTTGTCATCCGTCCCCCGCTCAGATTCTTAGGAAATAGCG